GGGTGAAACAGGACTGCCGAAACAGGAGACAGCTTTCTGCAGACCAGACACATCGGGAATAGCGAATAACCGGGAACAGTAGGAATCAGTTGAACTATTTGTGTTGATATTTAATTCCGGGCGGGATTGGGTCCAGTGGGTCATACGTTCAGCTCGACGGGAGGCAAGAGAATCCAGTGAAGTGGAAAAACGCCGGTGAACCGAACGACGTGATGAATTCGGCGGTCGAACAGATATGGAGGCATATATTGCACACAAACGAGGAGTGCGAAGTGGACGAGATGTGGGACTAAATCGTCGGGAGCGCCTTTGGTCAACGCCTAAATTCATTTCAGCGCATGGTTGTGGTTGAGGCAAACCATCAGAGTGACGGGAATAGGTCTTACAATCTAGTGTCGATGAATTAGATGACTGAGTTCTACTAGTCTGTACACAATCTCCACAATTCATTCCCTTTCGTGTGGTTGAGCGAGAATTATTCGACTGTGATTGAAGTCCATCAGCCACATCCGTAGTTTTTTCCGAACCGGGTGTGGCACTACTGCAACCGACAGATTCCATCGCTCTAGAATGGTCTCCTAAGCCATCAATCGATTCAGATGGATTAGGAAGATTTGAGTAGATGAAAGCTTGAGAACCGGAAGCAGGATTTACTTGAGGCGAAGTAATCCAGTCTTTATCGAATCCGGACTCAGTTAGGGCTATTTCGGTTGGAGGCGAAACCATGGTTGTCGATATGGAGGACGGACAGAGATCACGAGATGGGAGAATTAGGATATTCACCACAGAATGACAAACGGTACATCGTTTCCGATTGGTTGCTCTTGGATGGGGTGATAGAGCGATCGATGAACAGGGTAATAATCCGGCTGGGGTAGGGGGCCAGTCGATTGTCTCCACAGAAGTCAAAGACTGACGATCACCACTGGGTGGTGGTTCGGGCAGTACCAATGTGGGCGAGTCGGGCTCCTTTAAGACTGGCCCGGTGGGGCGACAAACATGAGTTAGGTGGCCGGTAACCAGATTGCTCAAGACGTTTAAAGATACATTGTTTTCGGTACGGCACTGGTCGTCCATGACCACGTAGGGTGATGGTGGTGCCTGAGACTTTGTGACTGGTTGCGGCAGTTTTGAAATAGCGGAACAAGAAGATGAGGAACATACAGATGAAGATGATGAAGACGAAGTGCGTGAACGAGTACACAACATACCAATCGACCAATCTGTACTGACCTCAAGGACACAGCTGGATAAACTTCCGCATAAAGGGTTCGCATGGCGCGCGGTTTGTTGGAAAGAAGAAGAGCGAGTGTGAAGAATAAGAGGAGTAAGTGCGTGTTGTGCAGCTGATCGATCAGACGGTGTGGTACATGTCTGATTGAAAGAATGGGGAGGAATTGAGACCGGGTGTGGGTGTGTTGTTGTTTTTGAGTCAGTTAAATGCGGATAGTCGGAGAATGAGCTTAGGGAACTGGATCTTGTATGAAGTGGAGTTGGTCGTGTTGGATAGGAACGAGAGTCACGGCAACGGGCACGGGACACGTGAGATTGGTTAGAACAAGTCAATTGCATAATCACAGGACGCATTTCACATGGATACTGATGAAAGTAGGTGGACAAACGACGAGCACGCAGTTCCGTATTTGATGCATATTCCCATTGACGGAAAGGGGGCAGATCGGATAGAGCATGGGTTCGAGCCAGAAGCGATCGGGTACGACGTTCTCGGAGTGAGCATTCAATTGGGTCACCACATTGATGAAGTGGGATTGAGTTTACAACCGGATTGCCCGGTTTACCACTCGGTGAAGAAGGTGGAATGACGTGATTGCTCACCTCACTACTCTCAGAGACTGCCGGTTCTGATGGACAAGAATCAGTCACAAACAGACCGGTGCATGAATCAACATCTTTGATGAAGGTGTGGTTATTGTTCTTATTTTTTTCTTTCCATGGACAACTTTTGAGCCAAAAGATAGGTTTTGATGAACATTCCGATTGATTTTCTGTTTTGAGCAGATTGATAGTGACGTGTGATTCGGGCCACATGTGGTCGTACGTCTCGTAACTATCCCATTACAAACCGAAGGTTAAGTTTATTTAAGACAATAGGCATTCCGACAACGCTTCAGGTGTTTCCAAATCTCCATATGTGATCAATTGATGGAAGGATTCAAAATTGCTCACGACAAGCACATGACTGCAATCAATCAATAGAAACCACGGGACTGAAGGATTCAGAAAAGTGTTTGTGAGTTAATGAGCTGCACGTATTATCATCATTATCATCATATTTACGGACCTCTTAAACCTCGAACTTTAAAAATGACTTATACAAGATGTAAATTCACCTGAACTGGTTCGTTTTACAACTCAATTTTTGTATCAAACTGGCAATCGTTTAGCTACTCAGAGTAAAGAAACCATGCTACAGTGGAGGTCATTGCAAGAGCAGGAGTGGTCAGGATACCAAGTGAAGCATGGTATTCGTAAGTTCAGCTGACACTTGACTTGATTCAGTTGAAGGTAATCGAATTCAATGCGGTAGTTTAAAAAGCGCTACCGGATCGAAACAGGTAAAAAAAGACTGATACGAACCGTTTCGAACCCAATAACGAGTTAGACGCAGGTCAGATCACATTGACAAAACCTGATGCTGATGAATGTTAAGGAGAAGGGCAAGGTCTTCATATATACATATATATATATATATATATATATATNTATATATCCGCCAACCTTGAATGTCAGCAATAGTTTTACAACCCGCGAACTGCGTCTACTCACATTTTTAATTTAGTAATACTATGATTTCTCTACCGCAACCTTCAAACACTACATTTCCCTGTTCGAAGCTCCAATTAAGATGCTATGGGATGTTCGAGGAATTATGATCAGACGCGTCATAGAAAAAGGTTCTCACGTTGTTAGGGCGCTGAAGACGCATGTCACCAAATAGATCGCTACGGCCAGGAATGCTCGCCGAGGTAGGTAGTGGGTGGAAAAAAGCCAAGGGTGATCAAGCTATGACCTGAAAACGAGGTTATGAAAATTCACCAGACCTGGGAGTTTGGGTCACATAAGTCCAGTTAGTCTCTCTGGATGGGGACCTCGGTATGAACGTAACCGATGTTTAGGGGCGCTGAGTGATACATCTCAGTGTCGTAAACAGTGGCCTTCATGCACCTCAATTTCTTCGCAACGTTAGTTCAATGAAATTCTCCATTTTCTATTGGACTCTACTTTCAACCTGCCCATCTTTCTCCTACTGTTCATCCAGATGGGTAGTCGAAAGACAGAAACCAAAACCGGCGCACGGAATTGGATGGTTATTGGTTGTACAAACTGACTGAAACTGAAGACCGCGGTGGTCGGGTAGTAAAGTCGTCAAGATAACCACCCAGAGGTACTGAGTTCGAATCCCGCCACCGTCTTCCCATTTTCCGTATGTCTCCAGGCAGACTTTGTATGGCCGCGACTCCCTCCCGGAACGTTTGTAGCACATTTATATAATCAATAAAGCAAAAAAGTGAAAGTGAAGTGCTATCGGGCAAAACTGAAATGAGTGATGATCTCTGATGACGACATCTGAACAAACATGAATTGGCATTTCGGTTCAGCTCTGGTATGAGCTGGTTGGCACAGTGGTACACACACGCCTTCCGTGCGATGGGTCGGAAGTTCAAATCCCGGANCATATGCACTACTGATGAGCTCTAATAAGAGCGAAACTCGAGCCTAGTGTATAGTTGACTGGAAGAGCTGAGGAATGTGTGTGAAGGGGAGGTGTGAAGGATAGTCAGTTCTAATCAATCAATCAATCAATCAATCAATCAATCAATAACAACTATCTCACGACGCTACTCACAAGTAATTGTGAGTTAAATGCGAAGAAATCATTTAGTATTGATTATATTATGTTTTAACTAGGCTATTCGATTCCAAAAGTTTCAGTATCGAAGCAAAGTCTGATAATTGCTAAGTCCACCGGGCTAACCAAAGAATGACATTCAAAAGCTTCCATTGAGTGTAAATTCCTTACAGCAGTGATTAAGAAATATGGAATTCCAATAGAGAAATAAACCACGATAACGATTTTGATCATGAGTAAATTAAAACTCACTTGCTTCACCACATCTGGCTCTTCCAGTTGACAATCGATCACCAGATGAGTGACGCGAGTCGGATCATAAGTGAGAACAACTTGGGCTCCGTACGATCGTATAATTCGACGCCAAGATGCACGTTGTGCTTCTCCCACCGATCGGTAGCCGAGCAGAAGAAACACACAGCCAACCAGACATTCTTCTGGTCGGTTTGGCTTAGGTGTGCCTTCATGACCGTAATACGTGGCCGGAATGGAACCTGTTGTCGGTCCAGCTGAGATCGCAGTGCCAGATCCCGCAGTCATGCTAGCACCGGTGTTCGCGACAACAGTTCCCGGAGCAACTCCAGTGCGAGGCACGTGTTCTGCAGCTGGTTGCACTACAGCCTGGGCAGTGGATGGTGGTGTTGCAGATGCAACCTGCTGATTCGTACGTATATGAACAGCTTGACCGGGTGCGTAAGCGGTCGCATGTATTTGACCGCCACCTGAAATCGGAGCGCCTGACCGCATTAACTGAGCCTGATTATGCGGGGAGATGTGGTTAGTGTTTGCATGATGATTGTTACTCAACGGCATTCCGTTGGCAGAACTCGGCTGATAAGAGCCGGGGTTGTGGGCCGGTGAACCACTGAACAAGTGGTTTCCGGCAGTTGGGCCATGACCGGTACGTACCATAGGCTGTTGCTGCTGTTGTTGTTGTTGTTGTTGTTGTTGTTGAATGGTCATACCGGATGACTTCATGGGTTGACTCTGCATGGGAACAGCTGTGGATGGGTAGTGAAGATGGTAACGGAGTCAAATTAAATGAATACTAAACCGATTTTGATAAATATTTACAGATAAACTGGTTGCTAATTTTGACGCCTGTGGGCGTTCGAATAGATGGAACCATAACAAAGTGATCATTACGAAAGTGGAATCTGACGAAGAACATTCAAAACAAGAACATATCATGTGTAAGCGACATCCGACCAAAAATATAAAAGATGCTTTGCATCTGAAACAACAATGCAGAAAACAATCAACCATGTAACACTTTCATTCGCGTCTTATCTCAACAAAAACAACAACAAAGGAGTTAGTTCAGAGATAGATAGGTACTTACAGATTGTCTTTATGTTTTAACCATATATCATACTTATTTTTGGAGTCCCTTTTATTTGGATAAAAATCTGTATATGGTAAGACGACGCGACTGGGAACTTCAGTCCTAATGTTTACGACGATGAAGCATGCAATAAGGCAGAGCATTTTAGTGATATTACACATTATGCGCACACATGGCTATGAAAAGCAGCTGAATGATCACAATCTTAGTTGAGCCGGAACAACGAAGAGAACGCATGCATACCTTTGTGATGTTGTGGTGGAGTGTACGCTTGATTTGGTTGCGCGTGGACCAACTGCGCGGTCTGTGCACCCGGTGTCATCGGGCTGGCCTGGAACACAATATTACTCCCGGTCGCTGTGGCACCGTTCACAATGTGTGTGGGTAACGCGCCCACAGACTGTGGCCCAGATGGCACACTGACCATGTGTGACTGATTTTGAGATTGGACAGTGCCACCGACCGGTCCAGTTTGTGGCCCAACAGACCGAAGCAGCATACCCCCAGAGGCCAAACCGGAAGGCAACATGGTACCGCGAGCCACCTGGAACATGGGAAACCGACAAGCATATGCGTAGGTTATCGCAGCGATTAGAAACGATCCCATATTTTAGAAGTATGTTGAAAAATCATATTTGTTGAAACATTTATATCGCTGAGATTCTATGACATTCTAAGATGATTCATGTTCGGAAATACGTTAGGTACAAATGAATGAAAAACTTATCTTACTGAAACGTTTCAAGCTCAAGTATCTATTCAATTGATCTCATCCAACAAAAAGATCAGGTTGCCACGATTCATGAAGCAATGAAAAACTGTGTCCGATATTTTTTTTAAATTTCACAAACTTGTCTGAGGACAGACTATGCGCCAAGAAAACCATGGCACAATAATCTTTATAATAAAGAAAATGTTTCACGATTGGCTTGTGGGCTGAATACTGCCAGGTTGTCCAGGCTAAGGCAGGTGAATTTTCTTGAGGAACTCAAAACTGGAGCCTTCGGGTTAGCCAAAGCCTGACCCGCAAGACAGCGGGGCGATATGTGAGAACCGCAGTCCATTAGGAGCCGGTGTTCATCGGATCATACGCCCTTCGGAAGGGGTCAGACGTCCTAGGTGCCCAATACACCTCAATGTCCAAACGAGCCGGTGACCACTGCCACAACCGAAAAAATGTGGGTGTGGTTCTTACGCCTCCTTTTGGTTGGTTTAGAATTAGGGTTTTTAGCCAACTCCCCTAGGTGAACTACCAGTAGTCCACCAAACCGGTTATAGCCCCGGATATCGGCTTTTCGTCGACTCACTTTGGTCGGAAAACACCTTCGCCATGAGAAGGCAGTGAGAAGAGCTTCCTCAGCAGAGGCTGTTTTTAGAGGCTTGATCGTACGGACAAAGTGCCAACAATCTGACCAACCTCGGTTGCAAGCATGAGACGTATTCGCGATGCGATTAGCCTGCCGCCACTGGTACTTACGCATGCAAGCTAGCTGCGCCTCATCAACCGGAAAGCCTGATTGCATGTAGTCAGTAAGTGGCCAAAGTTGGCCCGTTTATCGGCAGACTTGCTCTAGTCTAGTTATGGAAAATAAACGACTGTCCCATAAAGACCTTTAATACAGATTATGTTTAACCCAATAAAGATCATTTATAGCCGCGAAAAGGTGATGTTTAAGTCGATTTGCGCAAAAGCAGAACTAGCTAAAACATTCTAGTTTAGTTTTAACTGACTACAGCCATTAAACAATGATGACACAGGCTACGTCATTGAAGACCATGTGATTGAATCAATGGTTAATGGTCAGTGGTTACTGACTATTGTGACACTTTTCCATAGTTCGGCATAAAGGCATACAGGAGATTGGATAGGAAACCGTAAATTATTCCGAAATGTGTGTCAGAGCTTATTTGGAATGAACCTTTTTGGAGGGGAATTTATCCCCTTAGTCCGATGAGGCACGGAAAAGTATGCAGCTCCGCTTGTATCCCGCAAAACGACATAAGTCTAACAGTATATTTTTTTCTATTACACACGTAAGTGTGATGAACAGTAGACGGGGCGAACCCCATAGTCACGAGGGCCTGCTGTTCAATGATGGAAATCGGCCCGGGACTTGGAGTGAAGAACCGCATAAGGCCCTGATAGAATAGGAGTGATATATAACCCGACGACGGCAGAGCTGACTATCACTAAAGCTGGGTGGCGATTTCGGGGCTCGAACCTCGGACCATGGGGTCCAAAGGACGCCGGTGACAGCGACTAAATCACTGCGCTACGACCATCCAAAGAAACATAGGGAAACGTACGAAGCGATGATCGGCAAGTGCCCTTCCCGGTCAGTCAACGAGTACGGAACCATGAAAACTAAACCTAGGCTCAGTCGTGAAGTAATCAGGCAACTCAATGATTGAATCCGACGAGGGGCGCCTGAATACGGGACTGAGTGATTCAAAGCGCCGTTTAAATAGTCATCAATTATGAAGCACCTGTCCGATTTTAGTGCGAATGCACTCTGTTTGAATTCTCGATGAACAGTGTACAAAGAGTAAAAATCGCAATCGAAGAAAATCTGATTGACACCCAATCATTTGCACTTTCATGGTGCGTAAGACAAAAACAGAAAGGTGTAATATGATCTATTAATTGGATAAGTGCGTTGTATATTTGCTGAACACAGTGGAACGGACAAACAATCCCGTCAGGGTACTCTGGGATCGCGTAGGTTCTCTCCGACTGACTAGATAGTGGGATAAAACAGTGTGCTTCAGGATACGCCCAGTGATTTTCCATTNTATACGTACGAAAATCCTTACTCTTTGACTTCTTATCTATGTGTCATCAGCATCATCATTATCATCGTACAGCGAAATACAATGAAACGAAATTCACTGATCGCTGCCAAACTCGCAATGCATACAAGTATTTTGGTAAAATTTAAGGTGGACAGGGATTGCACCTACTTTAAGGAAGGGAGAAGATGAACCACTATGGTCAACACAAAGTACGCAATCGAACTCTGCACACACCGTTTCCAGCGTTCTGGCCTGATAGGAAATGACAACGAGAACGCCACTGCTGAGGGTCGCTGCCATATCCTTCAATGTCTCCAACCAACCAGTTGTGGAGTCTTTCGGATTCCGACCTGGAAGGCGAGAGATCCACTCTACCTATTGGCTCTGTGCATTGTTTTATACCTCGTCTCCAGGTCATTTATTGACCTCCATGTGGTTTCAACTTCAGTGAAACATCGCATCTACGCCAAAGGTGTTTCAGTCCTGCATATGTTGCTCGAGCATTAGAAATGCGGGTGGTTATCTCCTTTGATGCGCTAACGTCATTGGTCACGCAACTACCTAAGTAGGAAAAGTAATCCATCATAACTAATTCCTGACGATTTATTTTCAGAGCCGGAGTAGACAAACCCCAGTCCTGCAGCAGCACTTGGCACTTTGAAGGTGCAGAGCACATACCGAATGTGGCTACTGCACTTGTTAGTCTATCCAGTGTGCTTTGCGCGTCCTCACAAGATTGGAACAGACAGACGATGTCATCATTCTAAATCACACAGCTTCTCTACAGCTATCCATTTAATACCTACGTTTTGGAGACCACTATGTGCGTCCTGCAGTATTTCGTCTGACGAAAATGAACAGGAATGGCGGAAGAGGGCACCCTTGACGAACATCACTGCTAGTTAGGAACGACCTACTCAGCTCACCGTAGACCCTTACGCTACCAGGTTTGCGAGTAAAGAGAATCTAGTATGTACACGTACTTCTGCAGCATTCCTTTGCGATATATATATATATATATATATATAAACCACCGGCCTGAAGATAAGCATGGTGCCAACGCGACAACAATAATAACAATAGCAATAAAACGGGATAGACGGATTGGGGTACAGAACATAGTGAAAAGGGGGTGAAACAGTTAAACATGGGAAAATACAAGATAACAGAACCTTTTTGTGTTTCACCGTACATCTTTTGCAATTTTTTGCGTTGTTTGTTGTGCGAAGGAGCGAATCCATAGGGGATTCACGATCAACTGAGTCGAAGGCTTCTTTTAGGTCAAGGAAGGCGACAACCGTTGGTCGACGGTGCGTATGACGTAGTTCGAGGGCTTGACGCAGAGTGAAGATTTGATCGATACAACCGCGACCTGGTCGAAATCCTGCTTGTTGTTCACGGATGCTTGTTTCCCGAAACGGTGTCAGACGTCAAAGTATGACCGAGGCTAGCACTTTGGTGACGATCGGGATCAAACTGATCCCGCAGTGGTTTTCGCAATCGTTCCCATCTATTATTTTAAACTCGTGTATACCCCGACCACTGCCTACTGTTTGCCTGTTTTCCCATATCTTTCCAAGTTTCTGATGCCATAAGAACCCTTCAAAGGCCAATTTATACAAACATTAAGGTGAATGATAGCCACTTACACATCAACACACTACTTTTCTCTTGTAAATCTAACAGACTCTACGAATGTCTGTATCCGTGTATGTGATGGTCAACGACCCTGCACTGCGCTGATAATGGGATGAATAAAGCAATTTGCGACACTTGATTCTCGCATGAAGCACAATAGTAGAGTATTAGGGGAAGTGATTCCGTGAATGTCTGACACCCAAATGTGATGTAGAAGACACTAGTATGTTTTGACTTGGTGGTGATGGTGTGTCCTCCGGGCTGGAAGTGCTGTTCGCAGACGTTTCGTAGCCACGCTAGGCAACACCATCAGTGCAACTTCGAGGAAGCTGATGATGTTGCCTAGCCTGGCTATCAAACGTCTGCGAGCAACACTTCCAGCTCGGATAACAGACCAATAACAACATCCACATACCGAGCTACAATCGTTCCACAATATGTTTTTTTGTTTTTGAGGTTGTCCACGGCAGCGGCACAAGCGAAGACTAGTCTTTACATTTGCAATCAATATGCATTGAGATTCAGTTTCGACTATCAGACAGTTAGACTGCGTACTCTGTATGCTATCTCCAGTGGTTCATTTTACTTTCCCACCCATCAAACTGGGCCTATTTCCTTTCCATCTAACACGTAAGCATTGACTTCATGCGACGGTTGTTCACCGAAATATTTCTGTTTGGAAATCTGATTGTTTGATAAGCGGTAGGCTGGTATGCTTGATGAACGCGTTTCTTTTGTTGAAATCAGACTGATCATACAGGGTACGATCAGAACAGACCAAAATTGAGGATCTCTCATAGAAACATCAGTGACATTCAGTGCCTCAAAATCACACCGCGAACGCTGAGACCCGTGATCGATGGCCACGCCAAGCCTCATGGAAAGCGGGTTGCCGCAACAGAAGAGCAAATTCTACTGACTGAAACGGAGTGACCTCGTTTAGTGTATACGCATTCGAATACGTAACAAAAATGTGAAGGAAAATAGGGCCTTGAACTACAGTATAATCATCCTCTTACATCTAAATATAACGAAACCGAATTAGCGGTTCGCTGTTAAGCTCATATTGAACAGAGTGCGTTGTACAGGGAAAAAGCTGGTGAACTAATGTTGTCAATAGAATGAGTAAGTAGTCCGGCGATAGATATACACCCAAGCAATCACTCCCGTCGGATACTGAATCAAGAGGATTAACGAGGCCCTCGGTTAGCAACCAACCAGTTATAAAGTTGATGCAGAGGCCTCAATTCATCGCATAGTCGTCCAATACTACTTGTAGAGCAAATGGATGATAGTGTTGATTTTATTTATTTGGGGAGAGAGCAGGTAAGACTCGTCCACGTTAGGGACATTCATGGCTCTTTATTGCAGTGGAAGACGTTTGCCAGGCGAAAACCGGCCACATCCTTAGCCATCATCGGTGGTGGGCCGCAAACACTTACTCAGTGGAGTAATAGTCAACCGGGGAACGTACCCGTAAGTAGGCTTAATCGATGTGGTTAGCAGCCTTTATAGGATGTGTGTGGTTGAGTGTGCACTGCCTCTTCGCATCTCGTCGTTGATGTCGAACTCCCGAAGCGAAAGAGGCGTGGACAGGACAACGCACTATTGATCACAAGAGACCCAGATTCCAGCAAGCGGTAGCGGTCCAGTAAAACGTAACGAAAGTTCTTGGTATAGAGAGAAACCCAGGGTTCAGCAGAGCATTTTCATTCATAATTTGCTCCAACCTGATTTTCATTTAGTGCAGTGCTTCTTCTGAGGGTGAACATACAAAAGCCAAATGTGTAGCTTATGCTTGACTAGACCTGAAATGACCGAAATAATCGAACTACGCATGATACCGATGTTACTAAACTATTCCATCCATCTTATCCCAGATAATGGCCGGTACGACGGACGACCAAAAACCTAAAATGTGTTAATGGAACCAAGTCGACGTCTACGCATACAGGTCTATGGGTAGTCATCAAACAGTATGGATCATTTGGTTGTGGACTCGATCAGCACGCATGATGATACCCTGTTCGGTGCCTTGAGAACAAGCAACTGACGAACAGCTGTTTATTAGGGCAATCGACCTTGATTACCTCTGAAATCGCCCCCGACAGCAAACGAACTTGTGCTTGTAGATATTATTACAATAAACAAAAACAGAAAACCATTCAACCAAATTGAAAGTGGATCACCAGAAAATTCGCACATCCCACTACTCTGTGATATGATTCGCTAAAACGTGTAGTTGTGCTGACCGAAGTACACCTGGACAGGGGACATAAAAAAAGCAGCTTAAAACTTACCGGTTGTGGATGGGCTATTAATTGTTGGCCTGTGGGTGACTGAAGGATGATTTGTTGCGGCTGTTGTGAGGGTGCATAACCATGTACCTGTTGGTACTGCGGCGCAGCTACAGACAATTGAACTTTTTGTTGTTGCTGTTGCTGTGGGGGAAGTTGTGATTGCATGTAAGGTTGTCGCATTGCAGATTGCCCCGGAGACATGCGATCTGGTCCTGATGGTTTGTTCGGATGAGACTGAAGTTGATGTTGTTGTTGTTGATGGTGTTGAGGCACGTGGACTGCAGTATGTGGCCCGGCTTGATGGGAAATCGAACCCCTATTTGCGGCTTGCTGGACAGTTGCCAGTCCGCCTGGATTGCCTTGCTCAATGAGTTGATGTGGATGTGGACCACCGTGAGTGGATTTCACTTGAACCAAGTGATTTCCCGTGGGTTGTAGCAATACTTGTTGGGGTACACCTTGGGAAGACTGTGAGAGTTGTTGTAATTGTTGTTGCTGTGCGTAGTTTGAAGAATGTTGCGTTTGAGCCATACTAACGGGAGTCAACTGACCCGAGGGGCCAGTGGTCACCAGTACAGAAGTCATCTCGTTGGCTTCACCTACCGGCAGAACATCGGAAATAACTTCCCCAGCCTCATTAACCTGAGAAGAGACGGATTCCGATGAAAGAATAGGGGTCAACATTTATTGAGTACTCTTAAATACGATAAAGTAGCTTGAGTGAAGCAGCTTATAAATGTTATTGGACGATAACGTTTTCCATTCATTCAGTGATCGTGTTACGGACAAACAAAACATCTAAAAACTAGCTAGTCTGGTAGGTCTTTGTAACCGCAGGATTTATTTAAGTCACAGAGTACCCGACAGCAGTACAAACAGATAACTTGCCTGATATTGTTGGTGTCTAGCTGCACGGACAAAGAGCGTTGGCTGTTGTATTTGTGCCTGTGGAAAGGCGCGTTGATTTGCAGCAACTTGTTGTTGCTGCTGCTGTTGCTGCTGAATGCTCAGTGACGACGGAGGCAAGCCGCTGTTGACCGCGGTCAATACGCCACCGGGTCTTTGTTGATAGTGGCCTGAAGAGGTAAAATATACAGTGCATAAATCTGTCATTACCATCATCTAGTTCACGAACATGGAAATTATACTTGTTACAGAAGGCGAGATTATGCACTTCGGTCACTCAGCTATCCGCAATTCATTGTGACACAAGCGTTATCATCCGTGGATGAGGAAACACCATTCGAATGCGATGATGTGTTCAATTTAGCACCGGTTAACGTCCAAGATCGTTTGGATTTAACCAGCAAACACATGGAAAGACACAACGGGATGGGGGAACCACACACTGAGGTAGTAAGTGGAATCTAACCAAACCAGGGAGGGGAGAGAAGAACCGATTCGTCATACACAGTTATTCGGGAAACAAACTGAACTGAACTAAACTGGGAAACAAGTTCAGGTGAAACTAGGGGACCAAACGGTCAAACAAAATATTGGAAGAACACCATAGAGCAGACGGGAACTTACACCGACTGCGAGTATTTTTTAATGCTTATATGGACTTTGTTTATCAACTTTGTATTTGATGAAATTGATCGTGCATTTCTCTGAGCCGATTTTGTGTGGCTGGCAGCGAATGAGATGAATTCAAAGGCTACCACTTTTCGGCTACACGCTGGTTTGAGTAACGAAGAAAAACGACGCGAATATCGCAAAGTCCGGTTCCCACATGGACAACTTTTTTCCACTTTGTTCTGTATCCAAATCCACCGTTCCACCTGTTCTAATTTATTGTTATGGTTTTTGTGGCGTTGGCAATATGCTTGTCTACAAGCCGGCGTTTATATATA